GTGTGTGTGTGTGTGTGTGTGTGTGTGTGTGTGTGTGTGTGTGTGTGTGTGTGTGATTTGCAAGTCAGATTAGAGGCATCCATGCACACAGATCCAGCCCCCCCAGCCCTTTTATGTCACTCGTCGTCCTGCCTGTGATGTCATCGCAGAGAGAACGGGTCGATCCGAACCCGAAGGATAATCTGCACACATCAGCCCAGGTGTGCTGCTTGTTGTGACTCTGCCGGGGGTGGGGGGCAGCAAGAACCCCCTTAATTAGTAGCCGAGTCGATGTGGGACACCTAACATCAAGGTCAGGACCCCCACCATTGGGGTTACGTTAATAAACGGTACGTGTCCTCGTAGCTCGTTAAACACGCCGGTACGGCGGCGAGTTTGTTTACGTCTGCACATGTAGCCCAGGCAGGAAGTCCAGAGACATCACATGATACGATCTGCAGCGAGAACAAATGAGTGCCCCGAAGGATCGGGTGTCAGAGTTTTCCAGTCACCAGTGTGTCCAGTGTGTGTGTGTGTGTGCGTGCGTGCGTGCGTGCGTGCGTGCGTGCGTGCGTGCGTGCGTGCGTGCGTGCGTGCGTGTGTGTGTGTGTGTGTGAGAGACAGTTCGGGGAGGGTGGGGAGGCGGTGGACACTAAAGTAGGCCGGGATGTTCCAGACAGAAGTGCTAAATGCGTGGCCACCGGTCCCCGCGTTTCCCTACTCACGGCTAAAGAGTAGATTAGAGCCTTGATAGGCAAGATTAGACGACTGTGGTGTGTGTGTGTGTGTGGGGGGGGGTTAACGTAACCGCCTCAGTTTGCACACAGGCGATACGTAACACAAGGTGTGGATCCTTGAGGCTCGTCCCAAGTTTCAATCTGAACACAACGAGATTCATTTTCCAGTAGTTTAAACGTTAGAATCCAGGTTGTTGTTCTGAAAGAGGTGTGAGCAACTGGGACCTGGAAGTTCTCCAATAAACAATATGTTACCTGTAACAGGCAGATGTTTGAAACATCAAAAACCCCATTTTGAAAACATGACAGACAAAAACTGGAATCTGAAATCCCAAATTCTATTTGGAACCGATGCTGTCCACACTAAAGTGAAGAGCCTGTTATCAGCTCACAGTTCAAAAACCTGCCTCTCTGATGGTATGGGGGTGCATTAGTGCCTCTGGCGCAAGCTGCTGACACATCTGGAAAGGCTCGATTTTTACAGGAAAGTATCTCCAGGTTTGAGAACATCTGGATCTCACTTTGTCAAAAAGCATCAGCTGCGTTGGAATCCTCTGTGGTTTTGGCTCTGCTCCGACTAGCCATGAGCTCATTAGTCTGGTCTGACTCTGGCTCTGCTTCATCCAGATGAGGTCATCAATATCTCGGTCATATCCTGCTCCATACGAGACAACTTTTCAGGAACAGAGGAAACCAGGCAGGTCGCTTCAAAAGATTTTTTTTTTCGTGGCGCTCAGGGTGAAGGAGAACTGAAGGATGGTTTCCAGACCCACATCTGGTGCCGGAACCCCCACCCCTCCTGAAAGCCTGTAGCCTCTCTCTGGGGTTTTATTTATTTTTTCTGGCTAAAATCACGCATCACTTCCAAGTCCTCATGTGGCGGGACCATCCACGTTTATCGACATCTGTCCAACAGAACCGAAGCCAAAGGAGACCCCTGTCCCCCAGTAACCCCCACCGTCCTGCATCTCAGATTATGTAATTACAACCTTTGCTGAACACACACACACACACACACACACACACACACACACACACACACACACACACACACACGCACGCACACACCCACACACACACAC